ATTATTTATGGATTCTTTGCCAACCCTGTTCTACCCCTGCTAGAATGAGTTCCATGAGTATAGGTATCTTTTTTTTTTTTCCTTATACTAATGTATTCCAAGCACTTAGAGCAGTGCCTGGAACATACCCGGTATTAAATAAATAGTTGCTAAATGACTGAACCAACAACCCGACTTTGGAATCTAAGGTAGCACCAATTAGATCTCTGTGAGGCCAGATTTATAATAAGTAAAGCCAAGAGCAGAAGATAACATGTTGAAACCACAAGACTTAGTTTCTCTAAACACAAATCTATTTGCATAGCATTTGCCTTCAGAATAACATAAAAAATTAAAAAATATAGGGGCGTCTGGGTGGCTCAGTCGGTTAAGCGCCTGACTCTTGGTTTCAGCTCAGGTCGTGAACTCAGGGTCTGAGATCAAGCCCGGTGTCAGGCTCTGCGCTCAGTGCAGACTCTACGTGAGATTCAATCCTTCTCCCTCGCACATGTCACGTGTGCTCTCTCTCTCTAATAAATAAATACATAAAATATTGTTAAAAATTTAAAAAATATATTTATATATAATACAAAAACATTAAAAAACTCTCCTAGTAGAGAAAGCAGATGAAACGAACCAGGTTCATATATACAAAAAATGTCTTGGGACACCAACTATCTAGGTTTTTTTTCTTTCTATGAACTTCTCCAACTGTGTAAGATTGCCCAAGCCTGATTGCCAATTTTATTTTCTTAATCTAAGCTCTATTCTCATTACCCTTCCATTTCTATTTTTTTATCCTCAGGGAAAGAGAGAGCAGTTACTGCCAGGGCATTCTCACATTTTCCAAAGAAATGGCACAGGTGTTAATCTTGTATTTATGTTTGATGTGGGTAATGATGGCTATGGCTGGAGCTGCAGGTTTATTAATATGCAGGGCTCTCACCTCATTAGTGGCGATGTATGTTTTGAAGTCAAGCTGCAATGTTTGCTGTACTGTCAAATCTGGTCTACCAGACTTTCTCACTGTTCATTTTCTTTGTTTTTATCCAGTCAGTACATTCTTTGCTTACAGGGCTCACACATGTGCTATTTAATAAAGACAATTTTCCACAGTAGTTAATCTTGGTGGAACTTTCAAACATTTTTAATAATTATGTCCTCATGTGATACCACATGTCTATCTTAGAGAAAAGGTTCTCATAATTTTTGACCTGATAATACAAAGAATAATAAACTCTCTTCCTGGCTTAATCTGGAAGTGATATGTGCTTAAACTGGATAAAGTGATTAATTCATAGTTATTATATAATAAAAACTTGTGCTCATTATTAGCATTTGATAATGAAGTACTTGCATATATATCTCAAACAAATCTTTACAAGAACAAAATAAACAACAGTAAAACCTATTGATGGGGCACCTGGCTGGTTCAGTTGGTTAAGTGTTTGCCTTGGGCTCAGGTCATGATCTCAGGGTCCTGGGACTGAGTCCCACACTGGGCTCCCCACTCAGCAGGGAGTCTGCTTGTCCTTCTGTCTCTCCCTCTGCTCCTCCCCCCACTCATGCTCTCTGTCTCTCTCAAATAAAATCTTAAAAAATAAAATTTTAAAAACCTTATTGAATATATTTGATAATCCATTATGAACAGTAACTGTTATACTTTAATTCATAAAAAAAAATGTCCAGTGGACATAATACACATCAAAGGAACAAAACTGTGCCAGACTAACAAGCCTCGTGGGGTGGGTGGTCTCACTGCGCTGCTCAGAGTTCGTTCCACTCTACAGTCCTCACTGAATATGTGCTGCAGGAAAGACTCTTAATTTTTACCAGCTTGTCTGGAAGTCATTAACTGTATTTTATAAATTCCAAAAGATACTATTTATGCATTTATGTTTTATGGCTAAAAATCCAGGACCACGGTATTCCAAGGAAGCCATTTAAATGTGAGAAATAGTATTTTTCTCTTTTCATTAGGTAACTGAATGCATCTCCATTTCTTCATCTTTTAAAATTTGTGTTCATAAGTACAAGACCCTGGCTCTAGGGGCAGCATTTGTAGGGAAAGAAATGATGATCGAAGAACACAGGTACTTAGACCAAGACAAAAGAGAAAGAAACTTAGATCACTCCTGAGCATTTCTCTGCACCATCTTCTGTTTACTCTGTTCTCACCGAACCTGTAGTGCCCCCCCAATCCCCCGCCCCTACCCCCACAAAAGGACCACTGCCTTTGATTTGACAATGTGACACATATTCAGCTAGAATTCCCATCATCGTTCATTTAGAGAAAGCAAAAATGAGTATATGGGCTTTTAAGAAGGTACAGCAATGAGCCTATATAGCAAAAGTGTATAAACAAGTATATTACCTATTTAATTGCCTTAGCTGAACTTGGAAGCTCTGATCTTTAATTGCCTGATTGAACTGATCTAAAAAGCTATAATTTTTTAATCAGGGAGAAAATTAAATGGCTTTTTGGTAAATAAAAAGGCATCTTTAATCTTATTTTTATGGAATCCAAGTTATTAAATATGGACAAAACCTCTAAAATATTAAGTTAACAACTACTCAATCTAGAGTAAATTTCTCATTACAATGCTTCACAAAAGTCTTTAGGGACACCTGGCTTCTTCCACTCTTCAAATAAAAACACATGCTTTTAAATCCAGAAGGTAAAAGTTTCCATTAATAACCAGGAAACTCTAAAGCTAAGCATATAAATATATTTAATGAGGTGTATTACCACAGCATATTATTTCTTTAGTCGAGTACCCATAATTACTGGGGAATAATTGTTCACCTGCACTGTAATTCATTAGTCTTTCCATCGAGACAGATGCAGACGCACATTCACTCACTGGCATTTATTTAAAACCCAAATCCCTAGGGAGGGTTTGTTTTACCACTGTCCCCACTCAGCCCCTCACAGATATCTTCTTCCCTTAACTAGGAGCATTTTACAGTGGGTGATGCTGTAGGAATCCAGCAAGGACTGAGAAGAGACATACAAGTACAGGATTCCTTTTTGAAAACTTTATGTCCTCCATCAGGAAAGCCACCAAGGCCACCGAGGTATGTGAAGCAATCTCTTAAGGAACAGTGTATGATGATATCTGAAATGTTAGTAAAAGGAAGGGGTGCAATTGTATAGAAAGTGAAGGCTTCCACAGTAACTGACCAAAGAACCTTTTCTTAGCTCAAGCTGCATCCAGAACTGGGGAGGACCTACTCGCCTGAGAGGCTCTGATCGACCACACTTGCCCACAGTGATTACAGATGGTTGTTCTGGGAATCTGACGTACACCTTGTACTTTATTTTTAGATCCCAGGCATAAATCCATTTGAAACATGTATATCAAGATCCCATTTCAAGGAAAAATTCAATTTTTTTCTCCAAAACGAAGAGTAAAACTAAAATCAATGACTGCAAAGAAGAAAAAATAAAAATGACTGCAGAATAACTAAACAGTATCTCCCTATCCACTATAGTTTTAAGTGCTTCTAAGATTCCTCACAGAAAGTTATGACTAGGAAGAATTCACTATAAGCCAGAAGTATGCTGTATGCCCAGAGTATAGGATGATCCAAAGGATCACTTTAATAGTAACATTTGCATTTCCATGGGAAGGTCCTTTTAATGAAGGTTTTGCTATTGAGAATTGATGTCTTCCTTGAGTTCCTTTGTCAAAAGGCTAGCAGATGCCCATAAAAATCAATAAAATGACAAGAACTGACCACTGTGTTAACTCCTATTAAAATGGCCATTACCACTTCATGGGTTGGTGAGTGTGGGGAGGTGGGAGTACAGGGAATGGAAGCAATATAGGTCATATTATGTTAAATACCATTCTCTCTTAAAAAAAAAAAAAGAAAAAGAAAAAGAAAAAAAAAGAAATAAAGACCATTCTCTCTTAACCATGGTCGTGAAAATGCTCCATTCTTTTCTCACCCACCAGATGCATTCACATGATGACTTCTTCCCAGGAAGAGTAACACTAACCCAACTCAGCTCACTCCCCCTATGTCTACATTTTGCACCAACTATACTCTAGAAATAGACTAAACTGGCTTTAAGAGAAAATTTGGTTCCTGATTCCATTTAATCCACATAAACACCTTTAAGAACTGCAAGTTTTACTCGCCAAAGTCTACACCTCCTCTTCGAAAGAGGATGAGGGATTTAAGAAGAAATCTGAAATCACTAGGATATTAAAACCACACAACAAAAAACACTTAGTGACCAATGTGATACTACAGTTGGAGGCATCAGTTGTTTACTTGCTCTCTCAAAGCTTATAGCTTTTTTTAAAAAAACTTTCCTTTAATCACATCCAATGTGTATGTTGTTGCATTCCCCAAATGTGCATAAAGTGGGGCTGAGCAAATGTGTAAAATCACAGTACTGTTAGTAATAGGAGGCCCTGAAGTTGCTTTGCTATAGTCTGTTTCTCACTTAATAATTTGCTCCAAATGAAGTCATACATTTTGGGAACACTGAAAAATTCAAAAGGAGGTTCCTTTCACAACATTCAACAGTTACCTGATTAGATTATTCTTCTCGTGTGTTCTGTTAATGGACTGGGAGACTAATTTCTGACGCATTCACCAACTCCTTATTTAAAGCTTTACTTTCAAGGTATGTGAAGCAATCTTTTAAGGACCAGTGTATGTTGATATCTGAAGCATTAATAAGGGATGCAATTGTATAGAAAGTGAAGGCTTTGCAGTAATTAGAGTTAAGGATTAAAAATCAGATCCTGTCATTTTCAAATACTATGAAATACCTTTTTACATGTTTGGTAAACATCCACAAAAATACCATGCCTATAATCTAAATCAGAGCAGCTGAAGGAGAAAATAAGCAAAACATTTATAAAGCAGGCATCTTTTTGACTACCAAATACATCAGCTGGCTCAAATATCAGATCGCTTATTTTATTTAAAAAGCAAGGTATCTGGAGAGCTCCCCACCTAACCTTACAAATTAATTCAGAGCTTGTAAGCACAGTACATACCTCTATGTAAAATCTTTAAACTCCACAAATAGGTAAGGCCTTTAACAACCTAAATTTAAGAAAGAGAAACAGTCCAATGATGATTTTTTATCAGAAATTGTCCACATTTAAACATATAATCATTATCAACCATAATTCTTCCTTTAAAACTCTGAAAACCAATAAACATTTATTACACATCTCCCATTTCTGTGCCAGGCTCTTTGAGCATGCCAAATGTGTAAACTACAGCCCTCCTTCCTTTAATGGGCTTACAATGTTCTGAAGATAAGGCATGATGAATGAGAAAAAGGAAGGTATGTGCATGTAACATGACCTGGAAGTGCGTCTACTAAGTTCTCAGTGGTGGTGTGGGCAGGGAGGAAAGGCTTTCCTTTCTTATACTTCTGTATGTGGATTTTTTTTTTTTAAGTCGTGACATTTATGACTATGGAAAGATATTTTTTAAAAGCTAACTAATGAAGACAATGGGTGGAACAGAGATTGCTCTTCCTGCCCATAATCAGGAAGGCTTTACCAAAGTGCTGAGCTCTAAGTAACAGATTCAACTGATGTGAAGGAAAGAGAGGAAAGTGTTCAGGACAAGGTAAAAATATACTGTCCAAGTGCTGGGGCCATTTACTCTTCAAAAGATCAAGGTCAGGAAAGACAAATGCTGAGAGACTGCTCTGGGTTAACAGAGACCAGAGACATGACAACTAAATACAATGTATAATCCTAGACTGGATGCTGGACCAGAAATGTTTATTCTTTTGGTCTAGAAAGGGTATTACTGGACAATTGGCAAAATCTAAGTTAGGACTGCTGATTAGATAGCAGTACTGTACCAATCAATGCTAATTTCCTGATTTTGATCAGTATACAGCAATGATGTGAGAGAACGTCCTTGTTCTTAGGAAATATACACCTGAAGTATTTAGGGGTAAAGGGCCATTGATGTCTGCAACGTACTCTCAAATGTTTCAGGAAAAAAACACATACCAAATATGGTTAACTGTTAACAACTGGGGAATCTGGAGAAAGCATCTTACAACCTTTCTGTAAGTTTAAAATAATTAAAAAAAAAATATTTCCAAAAAATGTTTTAAATGATATTCAGGTAGGAAAGATCAAAGTATATCAAGTTGAGCAGCTTCACAAGCCAACCTGGTGGATGCAGGCATATGTATGGAGTCACGTAGAAAACACTGAAAGAGCAGGTCAAAAAAATAAAGGGAGAAAATACAAACATTAGAATTAGAATGGATTTTTGATTGAACAGCCTGTGTTAAGAATAATCAGTCAAATAAGATTCTGAAAAAAAGATGTTTCTAAGACCCTAAGTATATGGGTTACAAGTGCTGCCTTCTATGTGAGAAGTTTAATCACTAAACACTTTAACAATCTTTACATAGAAATGGTTGCAAAAGGGGATGCACATGTTTTTATTCATACCCACTGACCCTGTATGCACATGAGTGTGAACTTGCCAATTTCAAGGTTGACTATTCATAATTACGTATCAGATACAATGAATGAACCACTATCACTCAAAATTTACTACCAGAATTTAAAAGTACCCACCATTACAGAAAATTTTAGGTGAGTCGGGACTATAAAAACAAGGAAACCTGCCATTATGAGGAATAACTGAGTGATTTACATATTTATTTTGCAAATGATGAAAAGAAGGTTGAGGCTAAATCTGGAAGGATTTTAGTTGATCAATTAAGACTAAGAGCAATACTAAAAGAGAAATGCAAAGGGAGAAAACTAATTCCCAAATACTAAAGATTTATAAGAAGGTAAAATCTATATCAATTAATGCTGAGCAGAGATTAACATATTTTAATTCTTTTCTTAGAGGGGGATGTACTCCTGAAAGATTTGCTAGCGAGGTATGATCATTTCCACAGTAAGTTTATATGTTTTAAGAGAACAGAATACATTTTTATAGCAAATTATTTTTTCTAGGATTTGGAATAAGTGGCATTACAATAAAACACGTATGTTCTGGACAGTAAGATAGTAAAAAAACGAAAAGAAAAATCAAACTAGTAATAATGATAACCAACAGAGGAAGGAAAGAGGCAAAAATACTGCCTTAAAAATCAATAATGAAACAATTTTCTTTGGGTAGTAGGATGAGGCCATCTTATTTAGCATGGAAGTAATCACTTTTGAGTTCTGAAATTAAGGTTAAACTTCTCAATTTATAACCTTACTTGCATATTATAAAACCTTCCCATTAAAGATGGTTCACCACTAAAAATTGGTCCCACGAGAAATGAATAACCAGAAAACACACAAGGCGAAGGCAATCCACATATTCAGATTATCAGGCAGAAAAAAAGTAAAACAAATACTGATTTTGTAATACTTACTAAAATTAAAAATCTTATTAGAGCTTCAAAAAGAATGTACGGTTCTTCCAACTTTGTCAAAATAGATTACGTTTTCCTTTAGAAGCATATACAAAGCAGTGTACAGGGTTCCAGAAATCGGTCCATTGAAACTCTAGAGGGTATTATTGGTATTCAGTAGGCTAGGTTTCACAACAATGACTTGACAAAGCCTTGACACTGAAAGTACTTGTATCTGCTGTCAATCACTCACTCCTTGACATGTCAAGTGCACATCCTTTCAGGGACAACTTCAATCAACATTAGCACTCAAAATACAGCACACAGTGTCACTGCTTCAGAAGTGAGAGGAAAAACAAAATGTGCCAGCATGGCAGGGAATGGCAGGAAGGCATTCCTCTTTCTAGGAGACCACATTCAAATGGAAAGTGGATAAAAATCACTGAGTAAGTTGAAAGGCTGAAATCACCCAGTTTATGTGAATGATATTTTTTTCCTGGAAAAATATTCTCTTGCCATATATACTATGAGAGAAAATTCAAACAACACATCCTATAAGCTGACAGGGGTCCATCCTGTAACAAACCTTGCATCTTTGGATGTCAACAGCATGCCAGGTTATTAGAACCTGGGATATAAAGCTAATTGGGGGGAGGAAGAGATGCCTAGATGTCATTCTATGACATGAAAGGAATCTGAAGCAATTGTATGTGTCACTCCACTCCTTTCTCATATACTTCTCTTTTTTCCCTCTTTATTTTTTTCTCTTTAACCTTGTTCTTTTCAGGCCTTCCTCTCCTTTTTTCTCATTCTCTTAGGAAAGCAGAGTGAAAAGAGCATGGGGCTTGGGGCAAAACAGCGCTGGGTTCAAATATTTACTGATTATAGATAACTTTAATTTTTCTAAACCTCATCTTGCACATGTATAAAATATGATCAATAACCTACAATCTACAGAGTTTGCTATAAAGATTAAACGACATAATATTTATACAAAAAACACTTCATCAACATTGGCACAACGAGGTATTCAATATACCCCTATTTCTCTCCTCTCTCCTCTGATTCTGTTGCTTCTGACGTGGTAAAGAGCACCCATGTGCTTTTCGGTCTCACGGAGGGAACTCAAGGGAAAAATGTTGATCTGTCTTCAGAACAGTAGAGATGACCTACAAACATCAATTTGCTAGTCTTATTTTGATTGGGGGAATCCTTCCACTCATGTTTGTCAGCTGCAACAAAGACTTATCCAAGTTTGTAATCTAATCAAATTACATTAAAAAAATACGCTTTGGAAGCATTATATAAGCTTAGGCCCCAGCATAGTTTATAAAAAGTGGCAGATGAAGAGCAAAATTATCAAAAGCATTTCTTTTACTCTGGCCACAGGCAGTTTTCATTACTATAACCTGATGAGCCATAAAAGCTAAAGAAATTGGACACATTTAAGGGGGGACCCTAATTTTTAAAAAATGTAAGGGCAAATATAAACAATGCTTTGGGCTAGCACTTCTTTTAAGTGGCCTTCACTAAAATAATTTTTGTCATATTTTTGATTAACCAATAGGTAACCTCGGTATTTGAAGCCCGATTATTATTATTATTTTTGCTGACTCCATTCACTTTGCAGGCTTCTCACTCCAGTAGAATTGAAAAGACCAATGGCCTTGTGTGGAGGCTCTACACAAGATGGAGGTAAGATTTATGAAGTCCAGGAAGAGCACGCTTCTCTGACTGAAGGAGGCAGATTCCTATTTTAGCCAAGTTCAACACATAATTGAGGATATAGAACTCATATACTTTTTTCTTTTTCAATTGGTATCCTTGCCTTTTTTTGCCCTTTACTATACGTGTTATTAAACTTTAGAGCCAAGAACTGCCAAAAGCCACAAAGCATTCATTCCCCTCTGAAATTAAAAGAGGAAATGAAACATTTTTATTTTCATCTAAAATAGTGATTTAAGTACTCAAATTTCATACTAAACTAATCTACCTAAACATGTAGATTAGAAGCTACTTAGCAGTAGCAAGGAGAAAAGAAAGTTCTCCTCACCCTGGGCAGTTCACACTAATAATTAGAAAGAAAAAAGGAAAGCTGTGAATTACAATGAACTAAGACTAAATAAGTGTCCATGTTGGATTAAAGGATTTGAGTTGTCAGTTTGATGTATAATGAATGAGAAAAAGAGCCATTTAATTAAATGGTACATGGTATAATCGCTTTGTTCTGAATTAAACTGCTTAAGTTATCAGAGTGCCTTTAGTTTAGCAACTGTTTACTATTACACCACCCCATGACTTCTCTTAGACACTGTTTAGCCTGCATTATCCCAAATTTCAAATCTGGAGCTTATATAGTAATGTTAGTCTAGTTGAAATATTTCATCAATTTATGAATACAGAAAACAGGAAAACTGCTTTTAATCACAAAGGGAATAAATTCCTAGATATTGCTGGTAAAAAAATTAAAAACAAAGAACACAAAAAGTCTGCAAAAATCTTTAAGAAAAAAGTAGTGTTTTCTTATAGTTTTAGTAATTTAGACTTGAAAAGTATTTTCTAATCATAAGCCCAAAACTACAAAATATTCCCCAAACAACTTTCTTGTTGAAGAACCTGGAAATGTTACTGGTTAGCAAGTGTACTACAGTCTCTGTAAACACATGAAAGCAGAATAGGTCACAGGTCACAGTCCCCATAAGCCTGAAGCATGTCATGTGACTATGTTGTTAATGTGGGTTGGTCTATGAAAAGAAGAAAATGCAAAAATGACAGAAGGAGAGAGTTGACAAGGCCCTGGCAGTCAACAGGGATTGAAGAAAAAGAAAACAACATCGTGAGGATATAAGGGGAACAGATTTGACTAGAAAGATTCAATCACCCCAGTTTCATAAGGTTGAAGCCATATATACTCACTGCTATTGCAATTCTTCCAAGGACATGCTCTGGAATTTTTCTATATACATCCAAGGATCCCCCTGTAGAGACAGATATGTTGCACTATTATAAATAAAACTACCAGAATGCTGCATTGGGCTCCTCCTCTGCGCATTCACTGTGAGAATATTTTTTTTCTTCTCTTCTTCTTGCATTGTGCATTGGATATCTAAGGTCAAATTGGTTTTTAGTCCAATTTTACTTATGACATAATATACTACCAGATGAAGCATAACTAGATATTTCCATTTTATTTCCAAGTGTATCACATACGTGTAAAAACTGAAAGAAACTAGTCAAGTGTAGGCCATGACTCTCCACTTTATGTAAAATTAAATACCTACACAAAACTGAAGATCAACAGGTCAACCACATTTAGGTATCCATCTTATGTAACAGTTTTCTCAAATGTAAACCAGGACTCTGTCTTAGAATTTTCAAATTAACTAAACAAAAGGTGGTGAATATAAGGTCCAAAATACACATAAAAAACTAATAAAGTAAAATAATAATATTAACATCTATCTGAATGAATGTTATCCTTCAAATTAAGACAAGCAATCAACCTACTCCAAAGATATTCAGTTCAAAATGGTTTGGAGTTTATTTGTTTTAAAAATTCTCTCTCTTTTTTAAAAGATTTTATTTATTTATTTGAGAGAGAGAGAATGAGAGACAGAGAACATGAGAGGGAAGAGGGTCAGAGAGAAAAGCAGACTCCCCGCTGAGCAGGGAGCCCGACGTGGGACTCGATCCTGGGACTCCAGGATCATGACCTGAGCCGAAGGCAGTCGCTTAACCAACTGAGCCAACCCAGGCACCCTAAAAATTCTCTTTGATACCACTTCAAAAACCACTCTATGAAGTAAAAAAGAAAAACCCATCTCCTTGTATTATAATATTTTTCACTAAAATAGTATTCACTAACATCCTTCATCTTTACTAAATCCAGCTTTTAGCAGTTCCAAAAACCAAAACCATTAGACTGTAAACAGAAGAAGACAGGGCCACATTGTTTACTGGTTTTAAGTTTTCATCAACCTAAAAATGGGCATAACTAGCAGACAAGTAGCTATTTGATAAATATCTGTCAAATGAATCAACAGATAAACTAAAGTCCACGTGAACTTCACCAGATAGGTATAGTTGCTCTGAAAGCAGTTTCAAATGAAGGAACCACAGCAATAGTTAACATTGCTGAAAATAATTGCACAGCTTTCCCAGGTAACTATTTTAAAAGAACCGATATTCACTTGGAAGTATAAATTTGAGTACGGCTGTCACATTTTTCAATCTCACACAAGTAATATAATTTCAGAAAGATATGCAAAGAACCACTACTTCACTCATATTAACAATATAATTCTATGAGAGCTATAAAACAGTATGCAATAACCTTTCTTTGAGTCAAGTTGAGGTGTAGTCTTTCCATTCTTTTTTTTTTTTTAAAGATTTTATTTATTTATTTGAGAGAGAGAGAGAGGGAACACAAGCAGGAGGAGGGGGAGACGGAGGAGACTCCCTGCTGAGCAAGAAGCCTGATGTGGGGCTCAATCCCAGGACCCCGGAATCATGACCTGAGCGGAAAGCAGAAGCTTAACTGGCTGAGCCACCCAGGCGTCCCTAGTCTTTCAGTTCTATAAAGGAATTATCCAGGATATTTGAGAAATAATGTCCATTTCAATCAGAGGCTAAAAATTCATATTTAATCACTTTACTACTAGATGATTTGTAAGTATGCCTCATATGATACTAAAATGGAGCATGTTATTCTTTTGAAATGAAGTTAAGTGCATTTCATAAATATGAATATTTTTACGTGTCAAGTTTTCCTAAAGCTGAACATCAGGAAAAAATTATTTTTCCTATAAAAACAAATGATATCTATTGCATACATATAAAGCTACTGACTTATCCTGTTTAAAGCAGAAAAATGATCACTTCTTTAGGTAACTCTGACGTGTAGTTTCCAGATTCTTACAATAAGCTGGAAAACCACTAAATGGCTCAACTTTATGCTTTGGCTCTGGGTGCTACCCGGAAGATAATGAAAAAAAAGACACTTCTGCAATGAACTGAACCATCTTTATTTACTAAAATAGCATTTTTATTATAGATGCAATAAAAGTGAAAATACAGTAAGAAAACATTTCATGTTCTCATTGATCTTTCAAATGAATTGGCAATTCCAAGAATAAACAGTCAAGATCAAGCTTTACGTGCTAGTATTTGGAAGACTGACAAATGCAGTGTCCTGGACCAATCCCCTGTGAAGTGAAGGGAAGCTTGAGTGGCTCAACAGTAGGAGGTGCAGATCCATTCACATACACTAGGTAAGAAGTCCTGAGATTTTTTTTTTTTTTTACATAAGATGTAAATCAGGGTTTAATTAGCTAAACAGACAATCAATAGTCAATAAGCTAAATGGAAACGCCAAAGATTACATTTACTACCCTTACTGGTAGAACAAGCCAAAAAAGAATCTCATTTTGAGGTAGTTCACTGGTTTTGGTAAATATCCATTTAATTTTGGTTATATCCCACTCTCCTTAGCCACCCACATGAGTAAATCTTTATATACTGGCTTTGTGTCATCATCCTGTCCTTGACATAATCATTAGAGATAACTGTCAAAGGCAAAAAAAAAAAAAAAAGGATCTGGCAGATCCACTCAGAATCAAGAGTTCCTATTAAGCTTAATACGTTCTCTTTGTGCGATTATATAATTCTTAGGCTAAAAATGAAAGATTTTCAGTTGAATTGTTACTGAGTTTTACTGTCACTTCTATCTTACAGGCCTATCCCAAAAAGGCAATTCTTAGACTCATCAAGTCACCCAACATTAGTGCTAGAGGAACATTAAAGATCAGTCCAATGACTTTATTTGACAAATGGGAGAAACTGAGTCCCAGAAAGGTAAGTCTTCTAGTCATAGAAAATGAGTCAGCTGATGGTAGAGCTCAGGTAAGGTCTCACCAGCCTTTGAAGTCCCAGAACTGCAAACATTTAAAAGGTTTCCCCATGACATCATAGAGCTTAAGAATCACATGTGAACTTTTTTACAGTTTAATATAATGTGATATTACCATTACTCAGATAGTTTAATCTTAGTTGAGACATTGGTATTCAAGGCATTCAGAAACTCATTTCTATGTTGCACAGTTGGTTTGAACCTTTTATTTGTGATTCTAAGGGGACATCACTGGTTTGCTCTCTGTGACCTGTCATGTCTCTGTGTTCCCTGGCCTCAGATCACCCCTAGACAGTCATTTCATTGCACACCACTATCGACCATAGGAACCAGGAGGAAGAGTGCTAAAAATAGATTAGCAAAAAACCCCATCTCAACTGCCAAACTATATACTTCTCTTGATGAATTAGGGCTATCATTTTCATGCAACTAAGCCAAAAGGATTCATGGCATAAGGTCTGTGCTTAACCTAATACGGGGCTAAAATATAAAGTAGTGTCTTGCATGTAGGATAAACACAAATATGTAGTAAATGAACTTCTCAAGAAACAACAATACTGTCATATTCATCCCAAAATTTTCCTTAAAATGGTTTTTAATTGATTATCAATACTAATAAAATTAAAATCTGGAACCATAAGCAAAAATTTCAGAAGAAGCTCTTTTAGCTTCTGTTAGATGAAAAAATAAAGAGCCCTTTCTTTCAAGTACTCAAGGGAGTACTTGATCCTCTCTTTCTTTCTCTACAACATGGGTTTTTGGGGAAAAAAATGTTATTCCCAAGATGGCAATCCAAAAACACAGGCATATATTCAGAGATGCTATATTTGAGCATATCGGAGGACACTGTTTTACTCAATATAGGCATATCATGTCACTCCCTTATTTGAATCCTCCCAATGGCACCCTAATTCAGACTGATACACAACTTCGTTACACGGCCTACACAATCTAGCTTCTGCTTACTTCTCTGGCCCCTTGTCCAGCCCCAGGGCCTCTCATCACTACTCACTAGTCACTCTGGCCTTCTTGAGAGGTCTTGATTGTATCAAGCTTGCTCCCACCTTGGTGCATTTATACTAGATACTACATCTTCCTCGAAGATGTTCCCCATGACCTTCCCTGAATGGTTCATTGACATTAAAGTCTCTGCTAAAATGTCACTCCCATAAAAAAGCCATCCCTGACCATCCTCTCTAGCTCCTCCTCTCCTATAGTCATCAACTGCCCTGCTTTATATTCTAATGAGACTTCTCCCTCTCAGAGAATGTACTGTGTGTTTCTTCTCAGCTCCCCTTCTAGAATTTAAGTGCCATAATGACAGGAATTAAGTCCTATTCACTACTGTATTCCCAGGTTTAGAACAATGTCTGAAGGAAAGTACTCAATAAATATTTGGAAATAAAGGACTAATATGAGGTTAAAATAGAATCTACACTAAAGGAATAGTACTAGGGTTGGGAGAAAGTTGTCAAGAAGTTTAACTGCAATGGGAAGGGAAGAGAAGAAATGATAGAAGGCGGTACATAGTTTTTGGTCCATATATTTTTAGGGTACATTTTGCTGTGTTATAGAGAAGGAAGATCCAAAAAAGAGAGGGTGACTGGTGGAGAGAAATCCACCAAGTGGATGCACATGTGGAGGGACTGACCTTGTGCAGCCCTTCATGTGCAAGGAGGGTCAGGTGGGTGCACATGTGGCTAAGCTACAGGTGGAAGCACAAGAAAATGTGAGAGCTCACATCTGAAAATCTACGTGATCTCTGAGGGAGAAAGGAGGAGGTCAGATCTGGGAAAGGGTAATAAAATTTTAGGATAGTTGATGTGGTAAATAACAGAAAGATAGGAACTGGAGAACAATCTGCAAAAAGTGGGAAATTTCAGTGTTCAGGGACTGATTAGCATGGAGTAAAGGGAAGCTGCCAAGGAGCAGTAAGAGAGGGGCTTTAGGCAGCTCAAGTCTAGAAAGGAGTCATCTCAAAAAAGACAGTTAAATATAGACTGTAAAGTGAATGTTTTAAGGTAAGGAGTTAAAGTATTGAAAATGTGTTATCTTTGGGGTGCCTGAGTA